ATATTGTTAAATTGCATATTCTGAAATTTTTGACAAATATCTAAGAATTTGTGTTGCTCGATATCGCATGAAAATTTCAGCTCTGCTCATTACGTAAATAATTGCATATAGTTTCGAGACTTTTGTCGTCATAATTACGCCTTTTCCCAGAGGCATAGTTTTTTGTTGTTTAATGAGATCTATTAAACAATAATTAATTCATATGACGTCGATTACTGGCGTCAGTGTTGTAGAAAATGAACTTAAAACGAGTTTATTTTATCGTTCCAGTCCACCGTTGATAACGACGGTATACAGCTACAAGCACAATAAACCACATTAATATTATATTATTACAATAAACACTTCTTTGGAACGATATTGGGTATAATATTATTTCATTGCGTCTGAAAGATTTTTAAAAACGAGCCTAACCAATAACCGATATTTGATACACATTATATTATATTGATTGACTCGTAGATAGAAATTCGTAGAAAATATTATATGTTATGGTAAAATATATGACGAGAGATAAAAATTTAAATTAGAAAAATAATATATCGTTTTTACTGGGTAACGCGGTTGTGTTTTGGAAGATAAAGATGTGATTCTAAAAACCTATCACTCCAATAATGCGTTATAATAAAATAATACAGTTATTCAAAGTATTTCTCATAAGTTTATTATAGTTAGTATGATATACGTACAATATTAATGTAAATCATTTCCATGCATGACGATCGTTTCAAGTGCATTGTATATACCTACTATTATAATAGAGGTACCTAGGTACTAGTATATTAATGTATTATATATACTATAGAAATCGAGCCGGATCTAGGAAATGTTGCACCCGGGGGCCAGTGGCTGCTCTTGATGCTTAAACTGGGTGGTGCTCAAAGAACATAATATAATATTAGGCGGAAATAATCGTAATAAAGTATAAACCGATTTTCAAAAATTAAGATGCCCTTAATACCGAGAACAGGTTTACCCACTTAAAAAAGTTCAATAGACTGATTATAACTATTAAAAATACTTTAAGCAATTAATGTTATAAACGTTAAAAGATTATATAAATTCTTATGTTTGTACTTATTTATAGTTTAATAATTATTAGCCTGTTTAAATTATTAATTTTGATTTTTAATTTAGTGCCTTTTTTTAATAATATTATATTAACACGATTCGATAATAAATAATAATTAGAAATTTTTAAATCAGGTATTGAAAAATCACAAATAGAGGTAGGTACTGTGAATACCAAATTAGTATGTTTTTTTTAAATAATTATTTTGGCTAAAAAAATGTAAGTTTTCATTTATTTTCAAGTTTTAACTTTCTATTACGATTTTGGGATTACAATATAGGTACAACTTACTAATAACTGTAATTAAATAATGAATGTGTACAATATTATTTTCGGTTTATTCTTTCTTGTATAGTTTGTTCGGAAAATAGTATTTTTTCTAACAAAATATATACCTACTTTACTTTCTTTATTTTTGACATAAATATTGATGTGACTCTACAAATCGCACTCGGGACAACTAATCACCACATATCCGGAAAATCGATCTCTATAGAGTTAAGGAAATAACATTATTATTTTAATAGGTCTTCTTCGATTTGATACTTCGTACCCACAGGCCACAGTGGTATAGATTCGATTGTTTCTTGCTCATTATTTAAATTATTTAAATTGAAACCTCAAACACGTGGCAACAATAATCAATAATAACTGACAACTGCAGCTATAATAGTCGCCTGTGATATTCGTTGCTAAAACATATCGTCGCTCCAATAATGTAACTCGTAGTTAACCGTTTGAAAGACCACAAGGTAATGGAATAACACATGTTTTTAAGAAGTTTTTCGATCATCGGTTTATTTTCTGTACTAATGGGTTCCTATTCTAAATAAAATATATAAATAAAAAAAAAATAATAAAAATCGAACATAATAATACAGTATAACAAGCAAAATACGTAGGTACATACGTGTATAATAATATATATATACTGATAAACAATAAATACGAACCTATACGCAATTTCATTGTCAAAGTATAATATTTATAGCTACGACTTCGTTGTTATCATAATAATTTATAAATTACATTTATAATAATATATAAAAGTAATTATAATAAGTATTGGTCTATTTATCTATAAACATCAACGACATATTATAATTTATAATTTAATAATATGGTAATAATACCGAGCTCGAAAAAAAAAACATAAGAAAATATCATACTTAAATACTATACAATAAATAATAGTAAGTAAAATATGTAAGCTTTACGCAGAATCACTACTACACGCCTACGTATTATTTTGACAAGATTTAACTATTCTGGTTTTAAATTTAAAATTTTAGAACAAAACAATAAAATTTAAATAAATAATAATAATAATAATAATAATAAGATCTAATAAAGTGGTGTTTTTATACAACAATCTAAACAATAATCAAATAATCTATATGCTACAGCTATACATAAAGTATTTTTTAATATTACAATAATGATTTATGTTTGTATTTACTGTTTCTTCCGATTTTCGACATTTCCATCTACTTATTACAATATGTCAATATATAAATTTAACTTTTTAAAACGAGGTAAACATGTTATATGTAAATGTTTCGGTTTTATATATATATATTATATATATATAAATACTAATTAAATCTAAATACTCAAAATAACACTAGTTGAATTCCGTTCAATAAAAAAGTAGAAAAAAGACATTTATCTAATGCACAACATTTCTCTATTAGCGATAGCATTGGCTAATTAATCAGATTGAAATACAAATAGAGGACCACATCTACTAAAATCATGACCTATTTTCTAAAATAAATAGAATAAAAATTTGTCTAAAAATGTTTAACAATTGTATATTATATTAATTAAAATGCAATTATTAATAACAAAACAAATTAGTAAAAAGAAAATTATAAACTATAATATAACGAATTATGAAAACTTTATACAAACAGCATAAACAAAAAACAAAAGTCAATTTACTTGCTTTTGCTCGATGTTGGATTATTTTATGAGCTAAAAAAAAATATATAACATTATCCTAATTATTGCGAAAGGTAAAGGTGAGTCCATTTCAGTATATCTGTGATTGTCTCTTATAACATTTTTATTTTAAATTTAAAATTATTTTCTTATAATACACATTCGATTTACTACCTTGGTGTTCAAAAATTACTCTAAAAAAATCTTAAAGATATGATATATAATATTATCCAAAAAAAAGGAATACTAAACATTTTTGTAATTTTGTCTTTAACATAAACGATTTGAAATAACTAATCTACCCTGTGAATACATAAGTGTTGAAGTGTGGCATTTAATGTATGCATGAAGTGTGTGTGTGGGTGTGTGTCTGTGTGTGTGTCTGTGTGTGTGCGTGTGTGTCTGTCTATGTGTGTGTGTGTGTGTGTGTGTGTGTGTGTGTGTCTGTGTTTTATACTTTTATGATTTGTTATACATATTTGTGTGTTTGTGTTTATATAGTGAGAAGTAGAGAAAAGGAGAAACTGAAATATTGACAGAAAACCCGGGTCATACAGTGGTTCCCATTTAAATTGCACTTTTCATATTACACAACGTTGTACACTGTTAGTTAACTTGTAAAAACTAATAAAAAATGATCAACAACAACAATAACAACAACAGCGTAAGAGCTATAATAAATAGATTGCGAAAATGTAGTATAATTTTAAAACTTATTGCCTACAAATAAAATATAAAAAGTACCTATGGAATGTAAAAAGATAAAATAACACAAAATTCAACTAAAAAAAAATATATCACATAAAAGCGTTTTTGTTTGCTTAGTTGCTGGACCAAATTGCTTCAGTTGACTAGTGAAATTATAAAAAAAAGAGAAAATGTACGAAGAAAATCAAATCATAATACAATAATAATAATAATAATAATAATATTAATAACTTTCCATTAAAAAACAAAATTGATTTTTAGTTATTTTTACCATACAGTAATTAAATATTACAAAATATTGCTTAGTTTTTTTTTTGTCTTTTTAAACGATTTCAAGATTGTCAATGATGAACACAGTACAAAGACAAAAAAAAAAAAAACATTTTCAGGCCAAATACATCGTAGGTACGTAATATATAGAAAGATAAATGGAGGCCTATTACGATGTACAATACACACACGTATGTGTGTGTAAATGAGTATTAAATAATATTATATATTATTTAATAAAACCGATTATATCATAATACTATTATATTATATGAAAATGATGATATTATATCCGCACTCCACTAAGCCATGAACACATTAGGTATGTGATTAAAAAAAAAAATGCATGATATGAAAATGATTAATATTATTGCAAGAATCCTAACAAGAAACGAGAACGCGTATATTATTCATTAGGTACTATGTGTAAGATGAAATTTTGATCGTCATTGAATTTCTATAACTATACAATAACTAAAAAGAACACACTTATCATACAAGATTGTTTCGTTGTACATGTACCCTATGTCATAATATTTTATTATATATATATAATATATTTTATAAAATGTTTGTTTCGATTTACATAGAATTATTCTAATATCAGACGATATAGTGTTTTTTTTTTTTTTGTATTTTATTGCTCAATGTTGTAGTATAATAATATATATAGGTATATATTATGTTATATCTTTGATCGACTTGACGTCAACGATTATAATATGTTGTAAGTACTCCCGCGCCGACCGGACGAATATTTGGGAGGCGCAAGCAGGTTTCGACAGGGGCGGCTGAAGCACGTTATTCATCGTAAATTTCAAGATTATCTTTACGAAGATATTGTTAAAAAATTATTATTATGATTAACACATTTTTTTTCTGTTTTTGATTGTAAACACGTTTTGTTCGTTTAGGAAGTATTCGATTCGTTTCAAATAAAAAAAACGAAACTTTATAAGTATATATAAAAAAAAAACCTGTAACAATAAAATAGAAAGATAATAATTCAGCCTTGATGCAAGTCCTCTTCGCACTTGGGTATGTCGAATATTTCAGCGAATAACGGCGGCAACTTCAGCATGTGCCAATTTAACCTGAACCACTCGAGGTACGAAACGTGTCGGATACCAATGGTTCGTAGTTCGGGCAGTTTCGACAACACCGTTTGAGCCAAATTCTTATCTCCTCCATGACCTTTGCTTAGCTAAAAATTTGAAAACATAATAATATTAGGTATATTAAATATCTTCCTTGAAGCTTCTTTAACGTCTGGGGCGGTGTTTGGAACAGTGGTCTGCGATACAAGACAATATTAGTATCAACTATCAAGTATTTCCGTAGTACTAATATTTAATATTGTCCTTTTTATCCTACTGTCATCGAATTTATACTTGTTACCATGTCAAGCAGCAGTGTACATGCGGGGTGTACAGTTTGACTGTATGACTACATAATCCACCGAAGACCTAACCATAGGTGAATATCGAGAATCTATACAATTAGTGAGTGGGACTAGGGAGGGCTAACATTTTAATATATCCAACTATCTAAGTATGACAATGATCAATGCGTCGTGAATTTTTTTTTTTGAGTTGTGATTGATATTATTATTTATTGATAAGTGATAGGAGCTTCGACCTCCAAGTTAAATGTTTAATTCCCGCGCTTTTCGTTACTACCATCATTTTTCTGGTAGGAGGGAGGGGGAAAAATCGATACGTCCCATTTGCATACATTATACCCTGTGGACTGTAATATGAAGTTATATAATTTAAGAAACGCTGAAAATAAAATTGTCGGTATCGACTATTGGGATATTGCTAGCGAGTACTTAATTCCAACAGTGACCACCTATATACCTGATAAAGTTTGAGTATTCTGGTGATAAATCATATACTCCTGGTTCAGATTAAAAAAGTTCTCTGTATCCATGGACACCAAGTTATTTTATAGTTTTCTTAAGTTTTACAAATTACAAAATAGCGAAAAAAAAAATTGTACAACTTTATTAATGTAAAGTTATTGAAATTGAGCTGCCATTTTAAAAGTAATACTATAGATAATATATGTTACCATTTACCAATGCCATATGATAGAAAAGTTGATTTTGGAAATAATCGCTAATAATTGGTGTCTTTGATTGAACACATACGATACCTACAGGCTACAGACTACAGGTACACTGACCGAGGAGTTAGTACTACAAATAAGTTCATGGGGGGGTTGAAGAGTGTTGTACACTTATGACATGACATGTTCTCCCCCATTGTTCCCTCGTAGACCACCATGGGACGATGAAGTTGACTCACTTGTAGCTTGAACGCTTCAACGATCCGATCCTGACTATGCTGTACGGTTTTTACATCAGAGACGCCTGGCCTGTCTGGCGTCAGCAGCACGATGGCGGCGAATAGACCGACTTCGGTGTCCGTCAGCGATAAACCGTTGAAAGATGTCACCAACTGGAACACATCTGTAGCGAAGTCCACCTACGGATAATACAATGATCTCAGTAAATACAAACAATACAATATTGCATTATGGTGAGGATTTGATAATAAATTACTGTTTCAATCACTTCTGTCAAAGCTCTCAACAAAAATGGAGAGAATTTATTGGCTTTAAAAATAGTGCACAAATGGTAATAGTTTTAATGATTTCTGTGTTATGTTAGAAAATTCTGTTTGTGTTTTCACTATTATCTTGGTTAAGTAGGTACAGGGGCGGAACTAGGGGGGTGAAGCCGGGGATTGATCCCCGGGCGTAAAATTTTACTGGGCGTAATTTTTCTTTAGTTCTTTATTTAATGCTTGGTGATAGAAGTTAAGAAAACATTTTTATTTCACATTATTTGTTTATGATGTTGTAGTGATGACGTTGGAATTAATGAAAAAAAAAATAAAGTTAATGGTAAGATTATGAAAAGATTCGTATTAGTATACTAAGTATATACTGGTATACTGGCATTAGCATACCTACTGCAAGCATATACAACTAATATAATTACTATAATTATTAAGATTCTGAGTGAAAATGTAACTAGTAACTATACCTAGGCATTTATTGATGCTGTGTTTTCGTTAAAATTTCTGATACCTACACAATAACTGTTATAAGATTATCAATCAACGTACGATACGTATAATATTATATCTGTATATTAAAAATGATGTTAATATATTATAATAGTAATATATTTACCAAGATAGTTATACATTTGTTTATGTTTAAAAAAAAAGATTTGATTTTAAATATTTACTTTTTCATTTTTTCTATTATAAATTGTTTAATTAAATACAATTTTTTACTGGCCTAAATTGTGTACCCTAATCAGAATAAAAGATTTTATATTTTACCATAAGAATCTATTATGATTGAAGGCTGAGGCGCATAGAACCAAAACAGCAAAAGTGTTTACAATTTTTATACAGGATAGGTAGGTAGGTAATTAAAGTTTTGATAATTTTTGAACATTTATATATAACTAATATTATTATTATTTCTAATAATAAATACAATTAAGTAACCAATACAGTATTTCCAGTAATTAAAAATGTATCAACAATATGTTGACTAAGTTTTTAAATTTAAAGTGTTTTTGGTGTGATAGTTTATTAGTATAAACTTGGTTACACCACAGTCCACATAATATATTAATTACTATATATTATTATGTGTTTAAAAGTTAATAAGTATGTTTGTAATTTTAGTTCCAGTTATGATAAGACAATTGTAGGGAATGATATTGTAATTTCAATCTTGGTCTATGATTGGGCTTAATTTTAATATTTTCCCCGGGCGTTCAAATACTTAGTTCCGCCTCTGAGTAGGTAGGTAGGTATTTAAATAAAACGATTGGTCAGAAAAATGTTATTAAATATTTTAAATTGGTGTTTTCTAACCGATCGTGACATGAAGATGAATTTCGTCTTTCAACATTTTTTTAAGCTTTTATAACAAGTTTTATAGCAAGCAACGCGGTGATCTGAATACGATATTTCGATCATTGTTTTTAATGGTGATAATTTTAAAAACCCGAAATAATAGCTGAGCGTGTATTCGGTTTTCAAGCTATAAAAATGTTAATGATTTCGTCATAAAAATAAATCATAAAATTATTGATACTATGTATTTAGTATTTTTTGTGTCTGTATGGTTATCACATGAATGTATTTTATGTCCTGAAATGCAATTTCGATTCCATTCAAAGTACTAATCTGGCTGATATAGAATAGACCCAGAATCCAGATAATTTGTGTTCAAAGAAGATAATAGTTTGTGCGTAGGTACATTTATTATATTTCCCCGAAATTATTTTGGTAAATCGTTATGAACTTGACTTTTTTAAGTAGATCAACATAAATAATTTAATTCGAGCAATACGAATCCACTATAACACCATTACGGGTGCTCGTGCTCTCAAGCGTAGTACCTAGTATTGTTGATTATTGCCGAATGTCTGTAACACAAATTCCGTCGCTGTTGTGAATGAGTGCATTTTTTTTGCAAAATTAACCATTTAGTACATTTATTTTGTTGTTTTATTAAAATACTTCACAGTTTCCAATTGGATAGCATACATTGTATGTCCAGATTTAAAATTAACGTGATTTTCATATTTCAGTGTGAGCCCCAAAATTATAAATACTTAGCACAGACTTTTTTTTTAAAAAGTTTGTCTCTCCCACCCCCTCGACCTCGTAATAATTCTATTATTCCTTGAGATTTCTGATGCGTAAATTCACTCTGGTTAAAATATTTTCAAATGCATCTTATTCATAATACATTGTTTTAACTTTGAACTGAGTTTAAGCACAAAAGTTCCGAGAACAGCTATATTGTAGTATAGCTTAGTCTTTACTATACAGAATAGTATAATAAAATGTGAATTCTTTTGAAAAACGCGATGTTTTATCATATTGTAGGGTACGTCATATTGTGCACGATTTTATTCATATTAATTTTATTGCGAAAAAAAAATGCAGTAGTATTCTGTAGTACGTTTGTAGAATTAATTGGCAACATTAATTAATCAGATATACCCACGTGTGACGTGTATTATATTACCAGTAAGTAGGTATTTCTTGTTGTAGATATCTTATGGGGGGTAGGGGAAACAAACATATCACTAGTCTCGTTACATATGATAATTATTGAATAATTATAAAAGTATTCCAAAGAAAATCGCAATATTCAAAGAAATAAAATCGATAGTTTAATTTATTGGTATACCGATGTTCGGTTTGAAGGTGTTTGAGAGAGTGCTTGCTAACAGGAGATTTTATGTTGCCACCCACTAAATAATTATAAACTTTTTTTAAGCTAGTTTGGTATAAATATATATTATATCGCCAATATAGTATAGACTATATAGATACTTAACAAAAATTGATACGATCGGAAAATGGAAATTATAATATTATGCATTTTGTGTAAAAATGTGTTTGTCATTATAAAATATACCAAATTTAATACTACCGTTTACATGGATCAATATAATATATTCGTTGAAGAATGAAATCGAAAACATTTTAAGAGTGAACTGCTCTCACAACATCATCGTCAAAGGCTCTACACTTCCATGTAAATATGTATGTTTGAGACATCCGTGAATGTTTAAGTAGGTAATTGTTAAAAATACTTTCGATATGTATTTCAAATATGAATTTAAATAACTTCAAAAAATATTTCAAACACCTTTAAATACCTACTTGAAGAGAGCTTGACAGCTTCTCAATACCAGAATTTGTCCAGTTAAACTTATTTTTGGTACCTACATAAATATTTTCATACGATGGTATTAGATTCTGAGCGGAGCGATGAATGTATTGGTTTTACAATGATGTATGTTTTTATATTTTTATTTATATTTTTATATTTTAGATTCTGAGTGAAACGATGAATGTATTGATTTTACAATGATGTGTGTTTTTTTATTTTTTTTTTTATTTTTTTTTTATTTTTTTTTTTATTTTTGTGTCTGTCATCACGTTTTAGGACAGTAAAAGTGCTTGGATTTTCTTCATCAGTAGCTTTTCTGATAGGAAAGTGAATCTAGTTGGTACTTTGGGGGGTCAAATTTCCCAGTAGTTTTCACAAGCGCCGGGAAAAACAACATAAAAATTAAGGAAAAACGGGAATTTTTACGCAAAATTGGTTTTCCAAAAAATCGATTTTGGTTTTTGGTGTAACTCTGAAACAAATGAACGTATATACATGAAATTTTCACTGGTTGTTTATATTTGCATTTTCTATACACGATAACATTTTCAAAATATTTTGATTTATTTTGAACTGTTTAGGGACATTTTCATTTTCCATTTTTTTTTAGTTTTTTTTCTAAAAATATCAATAAAATTTTATTTGTTGGTTGCGAAAGCTTGAAAATTTAATAGAAGGCTCCTAATATATTGCTTCAAAGGCAGATGAAAAATATTAAAAATCCTTAGTCACAATTTTTTTTATAAGCATTTAAAGTTCAAAAATTGACAAAATATGGGAAAATCACGAAAATTAGCAAATTATTTTGAGTTAAGAATTCGTAAAAATTTTTCTTTTTAAATCTAAGATTTGAAAATTAAACACAAGATTCCTTATAAGTTTGTCTACCTTTATCAATAAAAAAATTTCTACCGGAAAGTCAAATTAAATTTTTATGAGCGTTTGAAATTCAAATTTTTACAACATTGGATATTCACTCGATTTCTCATGTGGCAATTTCCTTTTTTTGTTGTAATTAAAAAACGAATTACTGTAAATACATGAAAATTTCACTGAATGTTTATATTAGCATTTCCTATACACCATACAATTTTGAAAATATTTTGACTCTTTTTGAGCCGTTTACGGACATTTTCAGTTTTCAATTTTTTTAGTTTTTTTTTTCTATAAATATCAATAAAGTTTTATCTGTTGGGCCAAAAAGTGTAAAAATTTAATACAAGGCTCCTGATATATTGTTATAATATCAGTTGAAAAATATTAAAAATACATAGGCACAGTTTTTTTTTATAAGCATTTAAAGATCAAATTTTGACAAAATTTATCAAAATCTCGAAAATTATCAATCATTGTAATTAATAAATTATAAAATGTTCAGTTTTTATAGCTAAGGATTGCAAATTCAACACAAAGGTTCTCGTAAATAGTTCATACTGTAACCAAAAAATCTAAAAAATATATGAACACAGTTATTTTTTACAGACATTTTAAATTCAAATTTGGACGAAATTTCATATTAAAAAACCTAGAATAACTATTTTAGTTATTTTGTTGTGATTGAATAATATTATTCGTGGATACTTGAAACTTCTAAAGTGTACTTTTATATATCTATGATAGTATTACGGTTTTTGTTGATGTATAACGCGTTATAAGTACCTAATGGATATTTTGATATGATTAATTTGGAATTTATTATAGGTACCCATTATAGGTCAATTTTTTGTTTAATACCATAGATATGTATATAATATGTCTTATACATAGACTGACATACCGTCTGCGCTCAGAATCGTTTTTCTTATACAATGCTATTATATCGTTGAATTCAAATTTAATATCATCCATTATACAGTGACCCACTTGTAACCTACTGTACAGCAGAGCGACACCCACTTGCCCACCTTTTTTTATATTTTTATTTATATTTTTGTGTCTGTCATCACGTTTTAGGACAGTAAAAGTGCTTGGATTTTCTTCATCAGTAGCTTTTCTGATAGGAAAGTGAATCTAGTTGGTACTTTGGGGGGTCAAAAGTATAAATTTCCCAGTAGTTTTCACAAGCGCCGGGAAAAACAACATAAAAATTAAGGAAAAACGAGAATTTTTACGCAAAATTGGTTTTCCAAAAAATCGATTTTGGTTATTGGTGTAACTCTAAAACAAATGAACGTATATACATGAAATTTTCACTGGTTGTTTATATTTGCATTTTCTATACACGATAACATTTTCAAAATATTTTGATTTATTTTGAACTGTTTAGGGACATTTTCATTTTCCATTTTTTTTTAGTTTTTTTTCTAAAAATATCAATAAAATTTTATTTATTGGTTGCGAAAGCTTGAAAATTTAATAGAAGGCTCCTAATATGTTGTTTCAAAGGCAGATGAAAAATATTAAAAATCCTTAGTCACAATTTTTTTTATAAGCATTTAAAGTTCAAAAATTGACAAAATATGGAAAAATCACGAAAATTAGCAAATTATTTTGAGTTAAGAATTCGTAAAAATTTTTCTTTTTAAATCTAAGATTTGAAAATGAAACACAAGATTCCTTATAAGATTATCTACCTTTAGAAATAAAAAAATCTCTACCGGACAGTCAAATTAAATTTTTATGAGCGTTTGAAATTCAAATTTTTACAACATTGGATTTTCACTCGATTTCTCATGTAGCGATTTCCTTATTTTGTTGTAATTCAAAAACGAATAACTGTAGATACATGAAAATTTCACTGAATGTTTATATTAGCATTTCCTACACACCATACAATTTTGAAAATATTTTGACTCTTTTTGAGCTGTTTATGGACATTTACAGCTTTCAATTTTTTTTAGTTTTTTTTCTATAAATATCAATAAAGTTTTATCTGTTGGGCCAAAAAGTATAAAAATTTAATACAAGGCTCCTGATATATTGTTACAATATCAGTTGAAAAATATTAAAAATACATAGGCACGATTTTTTTTTATAAGCATTTAAAGTTGGAATTTTGACAAAATTTATCAAAATCTCGAAAATTATCAATCGTTGGAATTAAAAAATTATAAAATGTTCAGTTTTTATAACTAAGAGTTGAAAATTTAAAACAAAGATTCTCTTAAATAATTCATACTGTAACCAAAAAATCTAAAAAATATATAAACACACTTATTTTTTACAGACATTTTAATTTCAAATTTAGACAAAATTTCATATTTAAACCAAGAATTACGATTTTAGTTATTTTGTTGTGATTGAATAATACTATTCGTGGGTACTTGAAACTTTTAAAGTGTACTATTATATATCTATGATAGTATCACGGTTTTTGTTGATGTATAACGCGTTATAAGTATCTAATGGATATTGTGATATGATTAATTTGGAATTTATTATAGGTACCTATTATAGGTCAATTTTTTGTTTAATACCATAGATATGTATATAATATGCCTTATACATAGACTGACATACCATCACCGCTCAGAATCGTTTTTCTTATACAATGATATTATATCATTGAATTCAAATTTAATACCATCCATTATACAGTGACCCACTTGTAACCTACTGTACAGCAGAGCGACACCCACTTGCCCACCTTTTTTTTATTTGAGTGGAGTTAATGGCAACAGACAAATTCCCATAGAATTTAGCAAAAGTATACGACCTGGGGATTTTTTTAGCGTTTTGTATTTTGAAATATATAAGCAGAAATTAAGTTTGCTTTATACGTGTACTTGAATGTTGTTCAATGAAAAAATACATGGGACATTCGACGAGATCATAGATCAAACATACATATAAATATATAATATGTTTATAATCTTAAAAAATTATAATATTTAACACATATTATATCGTATATAGTTAGATATTGTATACGGGGAAACACTTGGGAGACAGAAACGCATCATCGGCGAGTAGACGGTTTTTCCGTGATCTTGACTTGTACATAATATTATAATTTCAACTAAAATGCTTACGTCGTAAATGAGTTCCAGTTGCTGTCGTGTGATGAACGTGCCGTCGTAGAAGGTGAGCGAAAGGTCAGTGGCTAACCTGGACACGTAGCACAGCCATAGTTCGAAAAATCCCACTTTAATGAGAATCAGCTGATCGTCTTGGCTGAGGTCTACGAAACCTAAAAACGAAACAGTCAAACACAAACGGCGTATGATTAGTATGCCGGCCGGAACGAGCTCGGAGGTATAAAATACATGTTCAGCGTTATTATAAGCATCGTTATTATATCTATATATATTAAATTAGACGATTCATTTTTTTTAAAGGTAAACACTAATTTTATCGAAAATTTTCGAAAATTTTTAGTAGATAATTTTAAATTATTACTATTGGCGATAAAAAGTGATAAGCTGTAACGGTCGTCGGTCACGCTATGTATTATTTATACTACAGATCCACCTTCCGCAGGCCTAAAAATTGATAAGCTTTCTATCGCCAATACCTACAAAAATTTTTTTTACATTACAATTTTTTTCATTACGTATTTGTATTGTTGCTATTTTTAAGTTTTTTTTTTGTTAAATGACATAGCATACCTACAATTTCAAATTCATATTCCTATACTCAGAATATAGAATTTCAGAGAATTTCATAAATATAAAAATGAAATTTTGAACATGTTTACTTAATCAAAACTTAGACACTGGGTATTATTATAACTAATTAACTTTTTCTTTAGATATTATTTTACTTAAAGTAAATGCTATAATCACGAACATTTTCTTTGCTTAAAATTTGGTAATAACTTATAGGTATTTAACTCTAATAAAGTAATAATATTGACCTAGATGCCACAAATGTATTTTAAAATTGCATATAATGGTATTTTTATATAGTGCCCGTTAGATGGACAGAGACAATATGTCAGTTATATGTCACGGTATAATAGAAAAAACTCACAAAATATTGTATCTACCATGACAAAAATTAAAATTAAATTTATTTTAGATAGTTAATTAATTACATTTGACAGTTGTTCTTTCTCTAGACTCTGTATTTAGGAATATAAGGTATTTTTTTATGTTTTTATTAGATTAAGTCTTCAGTGACTGAGATCATTAGCCTGCAGTACGGTTGGAATGGTTGGTACGGTTGAAACGGTTGTATTAATGTATTAACGTAATATCCTCTCCTTAAGTTGCTTTCAATCGGTTGCAAATATTAGTTTCATGTAAGTTGAATCTCTTTTCAGTCGCGTTGAACCTAACCAGTGAAAGTTGCAGTTGTAAGTCGCTTTGGTGAGAACGCCTAATAAAATCTTTGATGAGACACACACGTAAGGTAGGTAACAAGTAACAACTATACTAGGAAAATAATATTTTCTTACCCGGCACTCTTTTTGCGAACTCCACTACCCTCTGCACGGTGGGCGTAATGTGTACGGCCAATTGTTGCCACAGCCATATTTTTTGCTGTTCCTCGCTGTCCGCAGTTGACGATGCCACCTCTGGGCTGGAGCATCCCTGGGCGGGCTTTACATGCAAAACAAATACGAAATAATTAGTCAATACACACAACAGCCATCATGTACATAATATACCTAATAAAACTATAAGCCTAAAATATTTGCTGTTACTTTATTATATTTCATTTCTTACGTAAAATATAACAGAATATTCGTGTTACAATAAATTTGATTGAAAAAACGAAAGAAACAATTCATGTCTAAAAGGAAATTAATAAAAAAGATATATTTTACTATAAGAACGGTTGAATAGTAGATATTATGTTTACAGAATATTCATTATTAAAACTGTACAACGTAAATAGGTTCTACTTATTTTCATTAAAGGCATTAATTAAAGGCATTTACGATGCGGCTAGGATGCGGCAGCAAACAGTTATCATGACTATATTTATTTTATTTTATATAATATTTTCCCTTTTATCTCAACAAAAAAATTCTTCACTAATTTAATTACATACTACAATATGAGGACACAGAAAAAAAAGATAATGTTCCACGATTTTTAATTAAAATAATCACATCATGTTATGTGACCTTCGTAGTGTAGGAGCTCATCATTGTCTTCAATTCTGAATTCAACATTTTATGAATTCTGCTTATTTTAAATTATAAATCATTATATTGCGCGTAGGAAAAATATTTAATTTAATTTTATATTTTACAATTTCCCTTTTATAAACACATAGCTGTATTTGGAAAAACACTTAAGAAAGTAACTATAGTAAGAAACTATTTAATAAAGAAAAGTAAATAATAACGATTTTAATATCCTATAATTATAATAATAATCTTTATTTTATGATATTACTATAATAAAAGATTATTGTTACTCGAGTGAAATTATTTCTTATGTTTTACTTGCATTAAGACTCGATTTAAGGATATTATGGAATTAATGTATAGTTACTACGCATCAGGAAATATTGACAAAATATGACAAACTATTTTAATTTCTTGTATTCGACCAATTTAAATTCAAAATTAATATGTCCTTCGCTTTCAAAAATCTAAAAACAAATATACGCTTTGATGATTATTGAAAATTAAAATCTATACGCATGTTTCAATGCGATACAATATCATCATGTTATCTGGTATATCAGTGTAATTGAAATGCGAACCAGAAAAATTCGAAAAAAAATTTAAAAAGTGCGTAAATGCATGGACTCTTTGTGAAAAAAAACAAATTACGCGATGATAGACATGGCACAGATGCGATTATTCTCGCACATGCACATCGTTCAGCCTTTAAGAACACGTCTACACGTCTAGATTCCAATAATAATCCATCTTAACGTATTACGTATACTTATGCTAGTATGTTATAATCCTAAGGATAGCCATTATTTCTGGGAATTATAAGAAGTCGGAACGAATGATAAAAATATTCCATACTTCATTGTTCGAAACAACTTCAGATTCTATACATTGGTGGGAAGGGGGAGGGCTACTATTTCCACAGGAGCGACGAAACTATTGTTACATATATATTGGCTTTATAAATTATAATGATGTTTGTTATTATTTTTTTTCCAATAAGTATAATAATTGTATATTCACAATTAGGGAGCGTATGGTGTTCCTAAAGTTTCGTACAGCCCCACAATAAAGTCGAGAAATAATTGGATACAGATTGTTTTTATGCTCTCAGAGTTCGTTTTCTGTAATTTGCTGAAAAAAAAACGGTGTATTTGATGACAAATCATTCTGGAACTAATCTTTTTTGATGATCATTGACAGTTCGTAAGATTTGATACATTATAATGTTATACTTTGTTTCCAATACAGAAAAAAATCCCCATCCCCGGTTTCATCAGCATAGGCCTCAGATCGACAAAATATACACAAAGAATTCAAATACAAAACTTTATTATTTTTCATTTAAAGTGTTATACAATATACCTAATCCTTATACTCAAACTTTAACCATCATAGTTAATTATATAGAGTATTTTTTACCAACACTGTTCAACGTACATAACTTTGTTACCTATTTAAAGGTTTTATAGGAAATATTGTTCAAAATAATTTTAACCCCAGTATTATGATTATTTATGCAAATAAATTACTGAAAATAAGTACTTAAAATGATATATTTGCCACTCTTTAAAACTTTATTATTATTATTATTATTATTATTTTTTTAAGGAGAGGGTCCATAAGTTCCTATATATTGGTCCCTCTCGGTTTTCATAAATTCACCCGTACAGTTATTGTCGCACCACCACCGAAATAGGACATTATATTATTTTTGACGAACAACAATAATTATGTATCGTAAGAAATAATTACAGGAGATGCCACGGGTTTCCGGAGCAGTGTCCTGGTCAGCTCGTCCGTGTAGTCGCAGTTGGTCAGGTGCGCCTGCGATATGGCTGCGATCACGTCGTACGATATGGACACGCTGCCACCGTTGGTCTCGATCACTGCGGCCGGTCCGGTGCCGGTCATGATAGTGTCAGCCGTGACCGGTGCACTGCCGCCGATCCCTATGGCCACCGCGGCCGCTACGGCTGCGGCCGCGTTCGCAGAGACTGTCGTCGTGGTCGCCGTCGTGGTGGTCACCTGAACGGCCGCCGCCGCCATCGAATCGGCGGCCGACACGGTCTTCGACTCCGACTCGAGTTGTTCACGAGACCTCTTCGGCACTCTTCCGTACCGAACGGCTGGAAAAAAAAACACACACACACATCACGATAAGTAAATGGTATAATACGTTAAATGTCGGTCCGATAAGCCGCTCATCTAAACATTGAATACTTGTGACTACCTAATTAACTTCCTGTTTGAAATTCAATTTTTATGTATATTGAAGTACTTCGAAAAATATTCTGTTTTGGAATATGAAATTGAAAATATATGTTGTCATTTAAAAATGTAAGAACTTGAAAAATTATAACAATAAACAATAGAATTTTTCCAAAAATGTTGTTTTGCAATGGCAATGGAAAATGGCGTTTTGAAATATTCAGTGTATAGATGCATTTAAATTTATCACTTATCATCTGTATAGTGAAACGTACCAAGACGTAACAACTCACAGTTATAAATTAATTAATATATTTCTAATTGCTGTGTAGATAATGTACGAGTATGCAATTTTGTTTTGTGTAGGTACTAAGAATTATGCAATATGCCAACTTGCATACATATTTATTATTAAATTAGAGATATTCCTATAAGACCTACGTTAAGTTATATTATATTATGTATATTGTATACTCGAATGACATTATAATTATAATTTACAGAATTTGACAAGTAACATATTATGTATTTTTCGTGAGTTTGACGGATTTTCATAACATATAATTTTTAATTTTTATACGGTGTAAAAATCAAATCCTTGTTCAATTTTTTTATTAATAGTTTTAAACATTTTACCACACGATGATTATAATATAAATTGAAATTTTTACAATAAATACGACTTTCAGTAATATCAATAATAATATCATTCTACGGGTTCCCTGCTATTTCTCCTGAACGTATACGGTACACAACGTGCGGCAATGTCTAGATATTGCCTATGCCATTGTCGAATGAGGAATATTTTTATCACTTAAAAAATTCATATTAATAATAATATAAACAATAATTATTGTCATTGCCAGTTCCTCTAACCGGCTTACACGCTTCACTAGGAATTTCCGTTTATAGTTTATACAGTTCAAGTGAAATTGTTTAGCAGCCAGCAGGATGGTAGTGCAAAGTGTTATGGAAGATGTATTTATTCAGAGTATACTATATACATAATATCACACTATGTATATAATAGTATGTAGTGTACTCGTATACGGTAATAGGCTACGATTTGAGCGATATCGTGCCATTTTTGTATGTGGTATCGACTATCGGTCTTTCCATTTTGTACGATGTCGGGTGGTGTTTGTGTGGTAATGGAAAACTCCTTTATACTATTTACTATAGGTACGGAGGGATTCACCAATCATGTACACCACCATTTTTCCTTGAATAAAATATTTATTCAAATTCTGACTTTTAGAATTGTTAAGTATACAGTATACTTAAACGTCTTCAACACCATATTTTCAAATAAATGTATTTTTAACCCCATTTAACAAGGATTTTTCATGTGTCAAACGTATTTTTTTCAAATGCAAACTAGTGTTTTTTATTGTAAATTATATTGTTATGCAGATTTTTTTATTTTAAACTAATTTATATAAATTGAGATTCAATCGAGTAATTTCTAAGTAATTAAACTTTAAGTACCATAAGAATAATAATATGTAGTCCATGATAGTATGTTTAAAGATTTGGGGGCTATAATTATTTCAAAATGAAATACCTAACATTTTATTATTACACGTTGGATGGAGTCGTACGTTCGCGGTTGCCGACATGCGATACCATGCATGATGCATCTAGATCTAGCGGATTGGCGAGCGCCCGCCAGCGTAGACGACGCCGGCGGTTAGCGGTGCCGTCGTGGGTAACGATTACGACCAGTACCAGACTTCTCGACGGTACCAGAGCAAAGGGACGATGACAGAGTGCAAGAAGGTGACTCGTAACGGCGGCTGCGACGGATACGGCAAAGCACGACGAGTGATAGATGGACCTACGAACACGGCTTCGTCTGACCCTCGGACATTTCCTTGGCGCGGCAAAGGATGCAGACGCGCCGGAGTCGGGTTGCCAGGACGAAAACCAGGAAGAGTATCACTAGTATCAGGACCGAGGTGCGGTGCGGTGCGGTCCGCCGATTCTCTCCCTTTATTGACCGCTCGGCGCGGAAACGGAAGACGCAGACGCGGTAGAGTTGAGGACGAAAATCAAGGAGAGTATCAGGGTACCACTGTACGTTGTGGTGCGGTCCACCGATTCCGCAAGCACCAATGGTTGTATTCGCTCGCTAAGTGTTTTTGATCACCGTTACGTCGTCACAACAGTCTCGTCTACAGCACTTGCACATCGTCTTCGCGCACAAGTCGCTCGCTGACAATCTTCCCTTCACGGTCGGGCCTTGTCCTCCGTCACGATGGTTGTCACCCATGAGCAAACCCTGCATCGAATACACTGACCGGTCGTGAGAACATATAGATGTGACCAGTGGCTACTTCGTCATCACGTACGACGTAGGTACCACTCCTCTATATTAAGCTGCTTATTGTGTATGGTCTGGTATTTGTAGGCCATATTTTGGTCATAACTTTAAAAATCTTATATGTTTTCATAAATTTGTTTGAAATATTTAACTTTTGTTAGTCTATAATAAATTTGAAATCGTTCACTAAAACAAGGTATTGTTTCCCCATCAACCTTAGTAAAATATTGTTCTACGTTTTGAATCTGTACCACTCGATTCGGCGCTTGGCGAAGTTGTGTAGGTTTGCTTCTGCGCAGGCGTATTAACAATTTCGTCTTCGTGGTCGTGACGTATTTATAATAATTATCATAACAATGCTAATGATAATAACAATATACTAATGAGTTATAATAATATAATGATTTATGATGTATTATCGTGCTAACAACACTGCATCGGTGATGCTTGGTGAGGAAACAAATTGGAACAAGAGCCCTATAAATAACCTAACGTGTGAATTTTATTTCCTATATCGATCGGTGGGCGGCCTATACTATATACCTATACAGTGGTGGATCTAGAATTTTTTTTTTGGTGGTGAGGGCATTGTCTTTTTCAAAGTTTTAAATACTTAAAAACGGCCCAACTTATCAACCTAGATGCTGGGCCAATAGGGGCCCGCAGCTCCCCTTAAATCCGCCACTGTACCTATATATAATTATTTACAACGTGCGGTATTATTATAACAGTGGACGCTTATTCGTACTGCTGATGTAGTTTTGAAAAAAAGATTCTTTTGGAACGAACGAACGAATGATGTGATAAAATAATAATAATACGGACAACGAAGGATATTGAATGTCTGTAAAGAGATGTCGACGACGTGTTATATAGGCACATGTAGAGTAATATAATATATGTGAACGTTTTTCAATGACAATAGTGTACACTATATTTATATATTCTCCGTAAATATATTTTTCTGTGTATATTCTCTTTTGCGATTACTTGTGTGTATAGTTTTTCAGCGTCGTCATCGACAGTTGTAGGTGGGTATATAATATAATATTATACACTTTTTCTATTCGAATGTGTATATCCGATACGGTTGATCAAACGAAAGACACAATAATCGTCGAGAATATCGAGGTGATGGTGCAGCGCAGTGCAATAGATATACGTCATAATAATATGTTACTGTCGCATGCGTTAGTATGTTTTTTTTATGCATTACTGTGAATTTATAATATAGTAGTGGTTTATTTTGTGAAGGGTGGTGTTGTCGTAGGAGAGAACCAAGTAGGTACTTGAAAGTATATAATTTATTATACTTACATTTTCAACGCGTACCCTTCATATAGTTTTTCTAAAAGACGAGTATAAGTTTTGAATAACGCTTATTTTTAGATTATACCTATGTAGTTACCTATAAGATTATGTCTTCTTTATAGTGTTTTTTTCTGAACATGCAGCAGTTTTTATGCACTAACGACCATTGGTTATAAATTATAAACAAAATTATAAACATATCGGACACGATCAGTAAAATTTTGATTTTAATAATTATAACATAAAAGTTTAAATTATTGCTGAGTGGGTTATTTTCTCGATAAACATTATGTCAATATGTTTGCTCATAAAAATATAACTAGGCGCACGGTATCTAATAGAATACGAAAAATATCAGGAATTTAAGGATTTAACGGTTTTAGGTACATATAAAGACGTTTTAGAAGATAGCGATTTTTATTTTGCTCACTATGTACTATGTAGTATGTTTAATTTATTTCCTTTTAAAATGGTACCTAAAAATGTCTTCTAATAATTAATATAAATCATAGTCTAGGTAGTAAACCTGGGAATTTAATTATAATATTATATTTGAGAGCCATGGGCATTGTGCATAATATACAATATAATAATATTATACAAAGATGAAACAATCTCTTACAGTTTATGGTCTATGGGTCGACATAAAAATTCATTTTATTTAATAAAATGACATAGAATTATTTTTTCTCGAATTCGGGTTTATATTATAAGTTTAGATTAAAAAATAAATAATAACATAATATTTCATTATTTATCCAAAAAAAAAAATGAGGATAGGGCTTTCAATAGTGAAACAAAGAAAGAAAAGAGCTCTATTCATAATTCATTATATTATTTGATAAAAGAAATGTACGAGGAGTTTATTGTTTTTAATACTACACAAGCACATAGTATCTTTATATATATATTTCCATTATAATATATTATCATCATACTAACAATATGTTCAAATAATAATAATAAAAATAAAATATATAATATTATAGAAAAAAAAGGGGGTTTTTATCACGTTTGTTCATTTTTACCTGCGAATACTAGTAATTGGTATATTTCAAAATTGAGAATAATTACTTATAAGTTATAATATTGTTAACTGTCATGATTTTAATTATAAAATATGTATATGCGCTAGCCTCCCAACCGTCAAAATAGTGCAAAAAAACACACACATGCACAATATATTATGTAAGACTATAACTGGTAGTTTTGTAAAAAGTTGGTTCTGCATGTAACAACTTATCCAAACGTCATGTTGTTTTATTAAATTTATAGATCACTTCATGGAAAAGGTCTTACGTATAGGACATAGGTACAGTTTCATTGACCCAACTCTCGTCCCTAGAAAATTGAATGATAAAATTGGAATACATCCATCTGTCCGATTCTTACGACTTTTTAAAAAAAATTTATACGGAACCATTTAAGTGACTATGTTAAAAATCTGTTGTTTCATGAAGTACGCTTGAAGGTACACTGAAATACGCCAAGTGAGGAAATTCCAACCCGTCGTTGGGGTAGGGTTTCCTGATTGAGCATCTCTTTCAGATTTGTATTTTTTCACAAACCCATGTGCTAGATACTATAATATTAATAGTGGTAGCACACTCAGGATTTTTTTTGAGGGGTTACCTATATGCTAATAATTAGTTTCCCCGAAATTACATGCTAAAGCCTAAAGGTACTGGTACTAGTGAAGGGATACTAGAAATACATTTTCATGAAGAAAAACATATGGAGAGAGGGGGTTGTTACCCCCCTCTCCCCTTGTGTAATCCATTATCAAGTAAACCGACTTGCCCATGAACTGGTGTACACTCGAACCGAAATACCTACACCGAGTGCCGTATTTTATATTTGTTAACTTTTCCTAGGATTCGGATAATACGCTAATACCAGTTGGTATATTAAATATTAATATATTATATTCAAAATGAATAACTAATAATAAATACGTACCTACAATCTGCATAATATACCTACCTATAGTTATTCTAACTTTGTAACCGGAATCACACGAGTATAGGTACATACATTTGGCATGCATGTATATAGCATACTATCGCTACTGGCAATAAAAGGTATACGTGGCCGTAGGTGTTTTCGAGCCGTTTGGACGACCGGTGCAGCGATGTCTAAAAATATGTAGAGTCGTATTGAATGTGGACGTTCGGCCACTGAACTCGAATCCGGTGTCAAAAGTGCTTGTAACCAGCCATATAGCCCGCGGGCGTGTTGACTATAAGCCGGCATGTATTTAGTGTGTTGGTGTGTGGAGAGGGGAGAGGGGATAGTCGCGAGTCCCCTTGATCAAGTGTCACACCCCCAAAATATTTTATAATAAATTATATCATTATTATTTATTGCGACAATATGTTTAAGTCCTGCCCAATTAAATGTTATCAATGTTTATGCGATATTATGCGATGGAATGTCATATTATTGTTATTATAGCTTTGTTCAGTTATGATTTAGATTTACTTTGGCCGTAATTAAGTAAACCATATAGCCCGATATAGGTACAATAGGCTGGTTGAAAACAAAAATTACAATATTTTCATATATTCTATCCTTAACACTGGGTTAAACATTATTGGACATAATCGGCAACGGGTCTTATTTCTTTCTCATTGAGTGGGTGATTATAATAATATTATTATTATTTTTTTTTTTATTAATTATCCGCGGCACATAGGCCATTGGGAGGGGGGTGGTACTGTAGGTTTTGGAACGGTAGGTGTGTTACACGTGGGTGTATTTTGGCAGAATTTCGATGGGGCACCGTAGGTTTCTGCCATGCCCGGAGTGGGGGATGGCGGCACTTGTTCTCCGGACACCGTGACTTGCCCGGAGAAAAAATGCAGCACGGTGGTCGAGAATCGAGACCGCTCGGCCACCTCATCCCCCAATATCATTATTATTATTTAAAAAAACTACAGAGTCAATACGAAATAATGGCAATAATAATAAATTGTATGGTGGACTATATTATGAATAAATAATATCATATGGATTTAATAACATTAGTTAATTAATTATGCAATTTTTATAACACGGCCGTTTATAATAAAATATTATATTATGTGATGAAATTCGAAATATTATGTTTATTAAGTTTTACAACATTGAAACGTAAGTACTATATAGAATATAGAAATTATAACGCCGACACCAATATTGTTTATTGGTGCAATACTGACATTATGTGCTACTAATATATGTTGGATGTCGGGTACGGCAAAAATAGAAAAAAAAATACGATTATTGAATTTAAAAAAGTAAGTAAGTACTTAGTACACACATTATATTTTGAAACACTATTTAAATATAAAAGCAGGCCTTTAATCATATATTATTGTTCTGAAACGTGCTATGTAGAAATGGTATCGTACAAAAACGAAAAAAATACATTCAAATCATTTGTAAAATAATAGCACATTTTAGTGTATTTTTCACAAGAGAAACGGTTTTCTTTTATGCTCTTGGCAAGATTATTATAAAACGTTGCGCTTTTAAAATGATTACTTCAATTTACTTTGATAAAAAGAGAATCATAATCATTACTGTACATATTCAATCCATTAAAACGTTATAGAGCAGATACATTAAATTTACGCTCTTGGTAAAAAACTAGTGTTGTTTTTAAATATCTTATTAGTTCAATAAAATAAATAGTTTGTTCATGAAATTTGATGGTACGTTCAAATAATAATACATTCAGCAATTTTTAAATTAGTTTTACAATATTTTTCTAAACGTTTATTTCTCTAATACAACCCCTATTCATATTATATTTTCCCGGCGTAAAAGTTTAGAAGTTGCACTATATAACACATTACATAAAAAATTGTACTTACAATCCCTGGACATGCCAACCGTCAGACATTTCTTGAATCGGCAGTACTGACATCGATTTCTGTTTAATCTGATCACCAAACATTTACCGTCCCTCAGACACCGATATTCGATTTGTTTTTGTATACTCCGTCTGAAGAACCCCTGCAACAACAATTTTTCAAGTTATTCAAAATAATTATTATATTTGAATTTATCTCAATGCACCGCGCTTCGTTGAACAAAATCGGGATCGTTGAGCTATGCAATTTACTGGCGAAATAGTGAAAAGAAAATTTTTCCTTATGTATTGCCGTTATATGAATGTTATAATGACAGAAAAAAAAACCCGTCGAAGGTCAAGGAACCGGATAGTCCAACGGTACCGCATTATCCGCCTGTTTACATTTTTTTCCATCTAAAACGTCTGATGACTGATATAATAATAATACATAATACATATACTTGCAAATAAAACGAGAAAATAAACAACAACAATAAGTATACGTAATTTTAAAATTTTATAATTTCAACCAGATTTATGATCGTTATTGTTTTTTATTATTTTTTTTTTTTTGCTATTGTGCAACGAACGGACACAGTATTTATTACCGTGAAATAATAATTATAATAAAATTTTTCAATCGTGCGTAATAATGGACTGGAAAAAAAACGAAATGATCCGGGTAATTTCTTTTCTACTTTATAATTTAGTTTTTCCAACACACGTCAGCGTATTTGGTAGATTATTAAGAATGAAAATATATACATGAAATACACATACATATACATATACATATACACATCAAAGCGGAAGGACAACAATATTTGCTTCCACATTAAAACGGTGCATACCTATATGGCTATAATACTCGTATTATATAATTACCTCTGAGTAATGTGTTAAAGTATATTATATGAACGCTGTAGCCTGTAGGTACAGTATATTATATGTCAAAGTCTTTTTCAATGGTACTACAGACGAATTGTATACAGCGCACGCGTGTAGACAACGCACTGTCCGAACAGTTCTCATTAATTACTACCGTCCGGCCAAATTAATTAGTCACACTTTATATTGAAACTATACACATATAACATATTATATAGTGTACTGTACAGAACTACAGTGTACCTATATATATTAGAGTTAAGTCGGTAAACTGTATAGATGGGTATACATAATAATATATTATAATATTCCCAGAACGTCGTAGAAAACCCTGACATCTGTATATGTGAATATAATAGTATAGGTACATACTTCTGTATGGCAAACATAGAAAGGTCTGCTTATACATATAATTATTTTACCCAATCGCCATCAGTCACGATTTTATTATATATTGAAATAATATGTTATTCTAATACACGATTAGGAGCTCGCTATTGGTTTTCCAGAATCATTTATTCAGGTTTCGGGGTGTTCGGGTGCTGGATGTATTTGGGTGTTCAAGTACCGGAATAAAAAATTCAAACAAACGTTCTGGTTTTAATGACCGTTATCATTCGGGTTGATATTGGTCAATACGGGTGTTCGGTAGTTTAGAAAAAATCCAACTTTTGAAGGCTGAGCGGGGGGCAATGACACAATGAATGTGATACAAAAATATTTTATTAAAAACATAATTCGTCCCCGTTCATGCAAAACACACTAAGTGTAAAAATCGGGTTTTCCGGTTTATTGTCATATAAAATTCAGTTTAAAAATATCTACAATATGCTGTATTCAACTAAGTCCCAATATTATTTAAAGATGTTTAATATACAATTAAAAATGTTAACTAAGTCCATTCGATGTTTTCCTTAATACGCAGAATATGGAATAATAGATTGGAAAAATTGCAAAAGCTCATACTCAAAAATCATGTTTTTTGACTTAGTGTGTTTTGCATGAACGGGGATTATTATTCTCCCTACAAATTACTATTAATAAAATATTTAATTTTACATAAATTTTATAAACATAAGTTTTAATAAATAAATAGGCACAATTATAAATGTTATGTTATGTTATGTTATGTTAACTACTAGGGTTCAGTACAAACATAAAAAAATAAATTTAGTTAATTTTGTATACAATATAATATATTGTATACAAATGTATATTATACAAAGGATACTATACTTTTATAATAGGTACACCGATTAAAAAAAAAAATATAATAAGTATAATTAGGTAGTTACTTTTATTTTATGTTAAACGTAATTATTTTAAATTCAAAAATACGATTCACCCAAAAATAATATAATTTTTTTAAATTATTTGTTGTCTTTATGCATGCATTTTAATAAATAATTGTTGAAAATTCAAAGTCTTTGATAGTATTATTTTTTGAAGTCCGACAAAATGGAATCGAAATTAAATTATAGAGTTCAACTAAGACCGTCGTGTAAAGTTTATAGAAGGTACGTGAGTTTTACTTCAATAAAAAAAATACTCCTGACTATTGGGACGATGTATGGGTATTGGGTATCCGGGAAATCAATTTAAACTTGGGGCCAATCCGTACTATTTATTAGAATAGAGGGAGTTTTGGATGCTGTCGTGAGGCTTACAAAAAAAAAAAAGAGAGAAACCAGACAGGTTACAGATTACATATTATATACTGAGTGTTGGGTACTCGTATCTGTTATAGCTTACCTCGACACAAGGTACTGGTATATAAATATGTTGGTTTTAGTTAATTTTTTTATGTGAAATGAAAACTAGTGATAATATCAAAAAGGTTTTGAGCGGAGCTCTGGAATCTGAAATGCGTTTTATATATATATATTTTAATACTAGTATTAAACGTTTAAAAAATTAAAACCTTAAACTCATTTTTCCACAAACTAGGTACCTATATATTTACAGGATGTCTCATAACGGTTGTTTTCGCAAATACCGACCCACCAACTATAAGTTTAAAACCACCACCTGCCAAAACTTTAAAACTTGCAAAGTATATTTGAATTCTTAATGGAAATGAGTAGTTCAACTTTTAAAAGATTTACATAAATTAACAATATCAGATTTTTAAGTAACACAAATAGAAGCATTTTAATTTTATTATTTTGAGTTTAGGTAAACATAAATATTTTATAAACTATTACAATATAATATATGCTCTCTAATCCAGTATTAAATTCTCAAAATCATGTTCAAAAAAGTAAGTGGGTAAGTGGGTACCCCTTTTCTCTACAATAGGTATCAAGTGGGTCACTGTAATGGATGTATTAAATTTGAATTCAATGATAAATCATTGCATACGAAAAATGATACTGAGCGAAGACGGTCCGCCACCCTATAATAAAATACTTATGCTAAGTAATAATTAGTAAGTATTTTTTATGATCGTATGTATTTCTATTAAAGCAATTTATTTTACTATTATAGTACCTAATACAGTATAGGTACATAGGATGAATTAATTTTTACCAAAACTTTGTATTCGAAAATTTCATCGTGTATAAAATATAATAATACTCTTAAACATTTTCAAATTCCCTGGAATAATATTTTTATATTATAGCAAAATCTTTATTCTTTGTTTGATATCTAATAACGTCCAAATTTGAATTTAGAATATAAAGGTATACACATATCTGTAAAAAAAAATGTGCTTGTTTATTTTATAGATTTATTGGTTCCGAAATAACTACTTAGGGTAACTTTGTATTAAATGTTTAAACCTTAGCAGTTAGCAATACAAATAAATCGTTTTTGAAATTTTAACTACGAAATAATTTGCAAATGTTCGTGAATTTGACGAATTTTGTCAACATTTGAACTTAACATGCTTATTAAAAATAATCGTGCCTATGTCTCAGTAAAAATTTTAAATTACTATAATAACAAATTATGAGTTATGAGCAACTTTGTATTTAAATTTTCAAAAATTTTTGAAATCAGCGTAATATTCTTTATCGACATTTTTATTAAAAAACTAAAAAAATTGAAAATTGATAATGTCTATAATAGCTCAACAAGAAATAAAATATATTGAAGATGCTAATATGTATGGACAATGATTATATAAAAATTAGGTAAAAATGCCAAGTACCTACGGTTTTTGTTTTAAATTACAGCAAATAATCGAAAATTGATTAAAAACAAATCCAATGTCTATCCAAATACAACGTCAAAAATATTTGAACATCAAACGCTCATAAAAAAATAATTTGACATTCTGGTAAACTTTTTTTTTTCATCAGTAGAAAACGTATAAGGAATATTGTATTACATTTTTAATTCTTAGGTATGAAAAGAAAATTATTTATGATCTAGTTTTTTAATAATTTGAAAATGTTCACCAATTTTTGTAAATTTGATGAATTTTGTCAAAACTCTAAAATATTAATTAGACTTTTGAGGGAAAGTTATCGATGGGGAAGGTAGGTATTATATTTTAATATTATTGTATGTATGGTAACTAGTAAGGATAAACGTAAACCAAAACTTAGTGTAGTTATAATATTTCGTTTGATTATTATATACAAAATACGACTACATCGTTATGCTTATGGTATGAATTTTTTTTCTGTGAGCTGTTGTCTCGACACTCACGTTGCGTGTAGTCTATGTTCTTGTTTGTAACTCCCCATAGAAGATGATATTATACAATATTATTATAATGTGACTAATGTGAATCTTGTGTACCTATCCATCAAATACTCAATAACGACTAAAATAATAAATAATAATAAAATCCCAATCGAAACGCGAGTAATCTCGCTAAATTTTATCATCGTATAAAATATTATATTATAATAAACGTAATATATTTTTATATAATATGCAGCATTATAGCTGCTATAGGTATACCTTGCATCCTTCACACGACGTAACGCCATAATGGTACCCAGACGCTTTGTCGCCGCACACACGACACGGTACGAACGATTTGGCCGGTGTAGTGTTTGAGTCTGCTGCCGCAAAGTGTTGATCTGTAAACAAAACGTATAGTGAGTATTGACAGGGATTGAAAATTGCAACAAAATAATATTAATTAAAGTTGTATTTAAAACTTTAAAAGGTAAACAATTGTTGTTTTTTTATTGTTTAATTAATTGTGTCAACATATTCGATGCTCTTGCAATGTTAGAATAAAAATATCACAAATAATAGACAAAGAAATATTTTGTTTATTAATTGTCTGGTTGGTCATTGTATTGTCAAAAATTGTTTTACACTACTTTATTTGAGTTTTGGAATCTTTGACAATGATAATTTCCACTATAGTTACTTATAAAAGATATCGCTTTCAATCTTCGTGTTTTAATAAAATAGATTAGGCATACGTAATACACACATTGTAATTTTGACGCGCTTAAGGAGCTTTTAAATCGTACCTAAGTATAAGAAATTCATAATATTCTCTGAGCTCAGAGGAAAACGGCAATATCGTTTTGCCAAAAACTACCGACATCGATCCGCCACCCAGCACTGTATATAATATATATACAATTGTATATTGTATATATACGGGGCCTCGGCAGGGGAATCCATGAAACTAGGTCACCAGACCTGTCACGCCCTACATTTCACGGCACCCTCATTATATACATGTAGACACTGCAGTGTACCTATATATATACAACACCAACCCCGTAATATATACATTATATATATTTTTTTTTCACCCGTCAACAATAAATCATGTAGCCATTTCAATCATTACAGAAAAAACAACTCGGTGAGTATTTCTTGATTTTTCGTCTATATATAATATATATTTTATAGAATACTCCGTATTGTATGTATAAAACGGAAAACGAACGAAAGTAACTTATGAGCAGAGGACTTTGAGTTTTGACTGTATGATATCGATCACTCATTATATGGACGTTGTCATATTCATTAAGAATACAAATCGTGAATGTGTATTGACTATTGTATATGTATGACTAATAGAATAAATAAAATAATACTAAAATAAATATCAGAGAGGATTTATTCACACATATTTTATAATATACGTATAGGTAAACATTGGTATAATTTAAATGTCTGTAAACATCGGTGATTTAAATATCCTTGCACCCGAGTGAATACTATACTTACTATAGATACTTATAAGTTATAATATGTTCTCGTTCTATGGCTATATGGCATATGTGTACTTCACTATGTACTGCAATTGAATATCATTTAATGTCGATCAACTCGAATACCATAAAAATAGACAAAGATCGTAACAATATTATATTAAGAGGGGTCAACATAGTACGTTTAATATACTTGATCAGTTCATCAAACTGATTTTAACACCAACATACGTGATGGTGTTCAGGTAGGTAGGTACTAGATACTTAATTAGGTACCTAGTTATTATAATCGCAACCGTTATAATATTAGACATACATTATATAGACTATGGAGTAGTATATTCGTGAATAAATACATTTTAATAAGATCAGTGAGTAATAGTCCGATTATCCGTCGTTTTTTTTTTTTTATTATAATATGCAATAGGAAGTGAGATGAAAATAAAATGTTCCTAAGTATATTATTATGATAAGGTATCTTCTCTTAGGAACGCAAAAATTTGAAAAAAATGGTTTATTTTCTAGGGATGAATTTATTAGGGCTAATCTTAGCTGTATCCTAGAATGTATTATTATTATCCTTGGAATGATACAATTACAATATATTACAGTGAATGTCTGAAAAATCACGCTACGATGTACTCACCGACGCCAAGAAGAAAACGGTTGAGATTCGCGCGGGCAAGAAGTGAACTTCAATAATATCCTGGAGGCCGTGCAATAACAATACACAAGGCGGAAAAAAATATGATCGTTACAAATGTTTCCCATACGTACTTACATCTGTACGCGATATTATTGTAATATGAGAGTGACGCACGTGTTGAGATTTGAATGCCAAGGCGGCAGTGGTGGCGGGTGTGTGCCGTCATAATAATAATAATAATCATAATAACATGGTAGGTGCACTACAGCACTGATGTGGTGTATAGGTATATATAGGTACACAGGCATGATATTATAATAGTAACCGGGCGAGGAGTAAAAATATAATAGTAATAATAATATAATATAGAAAGAGAACTATCTGCTGCTGGTCCAGTGAATACGTTTTATATTATATATAATATTATTATAATAGCAGTCGACAGTCGTGTGTATCTGCGCGGTCTACTGCTGTGTCTATATAGAGAACATCACGATTACACGTTATATTATACATTACGATAAAAAACGGTTATTATCTTCTCATTCGTATAATATATATATAATATAAAGCAGAGAATAGCGAGTGCAGGACACGCAATCGCTATGTAACAAATTTAAACTCAAACAAAATTTAAATTTCAGTTTTTACAATTTGACATTCAATTTAGTTGTTCTGTCTATTATAATTTTTTTTTTTTTTTTTACTGAACTTAAGCCCAGCGACTTAGGCCATTAGCTAAATTATTATAATATAATAATATACATTCATGAGAAAATCCTAAAAATCGCTATATTACACTCAATAATTATAGGTATAACGAAGAGAGTTCCACTACGATTGAATTCTGCATCGAAATCTTTCGAGCAACACCACTATTTATCAATACAAATATACAATAATATAAAATGTATTATTTGGGATCCTACAGCATATATTTATGTATATTATTATGAAAATTACACTTCATATTACTACCGATAATATGTTGGTTGATGTGTAAGTACTGTCATTGTCGCAGGCAGCAACCAGCAAACAAAAACACAATAAAAATGTGGACAAAATCTAATGATCATATTATATTACTCAATATTATTATTTATAACCAACTACCAAGGCCCAAAAGTACCTATACACATCCTACAAACATCACTAAGCAAACTAAATAGTAATTACAATTAAGTATATATTATAATATAATTTGTTATTGTAATCATTATTTATTAGAATATTATTGATGCGGTGCTGACGTGCAGTATAAAGTTAATACCTACTTATAAGTGTTATACATAAATATAATATACTGCATAACATATCACACAAATTCACGAAATTATTCTAAAGTAAGATCGTCAACGATGCACCCAGTGGTGCAACTGGGTTGGGGGTATTGATCCATCCCCCCGAAATGTTTGTGAGGTTTTTATGAATTCTACGTAGTACGTAGTTAATTTTATGATTTGTATATAACAAATTTAAACATATAATGTAGTAACATCGTGCACGTTCACTGGATAAATAAGTGAGAATATTGTTAACTTTGACTTCTCCTTAGTTATGAACTTATTAATAAAGTATATTTAAATATTTAAAACGAGCCTAAATTATTTTCCAACAGTCATTATAAAATATATATATGTTACAAGAACTTGTCTTGACCGATACATCATCGCCTGACCGGGACCGCCGAAGCTATGAGTATGGCATTTGGTCAGTAGTTTTGTTTTATAATGTAGAGACCCCCACTAAGAAAGGGTTTTCCAAAATTTTCATTTTAAAGAGGTTCTTAAACACGGACCTTGAGATTCACGATGGAAATGAAACTATTTTTATTTATAAATAGTTGCCATTTGTTGTAAATTATAATAGTAATAGAAGAAATTAGTATTTTTTTGTACATAAATGGTTGCCATAATGCCATTGGTTACTCGGGTAGATGAGGTAAAAGCATAAAACTAAAGAAACTACATCTTAAAATCAAATGTATGTGTGTAGCTTATATACTCAAAAACTAGGTACTCGATTGGTGTTGATGAAAATCTCTAAGATTGTGTCTAGAAATATCTGAAAAGCTTGGAGAATAATTTAAAGTTTAAAATTTTAAATGTAATGAACTTAAACTTTAAACTTTAAACTACCTACATTAAAAAATATACGAAGTACCAAATCCAATCCAAGACTTGCGGTTGCCCATCTAGGTCGAATTGTTTCGTAAAGCTACACTGACATCAATTTGCCCGTGAGCTGAGGTACACTAAAACCGAGATACGCCTATATATAGCACTGTATTTTAAATTTGCTCATTTTTCCCTGGAAAAGTAGTGTTTACAGCTAGTATAATATATAAATAAAAAATGAACAATTTAATTTTCAATTTAAAAATTTTACTCATAAATCTAACTTAACCTTACGTTATCATCAAGCACCTGCCGGAAATAATTTTTTTTTTTCAAATTCATAACCATTAATCCATAATTATATGCAAGTATAGAACGTATAGTAAATAGAGTGGCAACCTGCAAGTTTATTTTGGTATGCATTTTAGAATGCATAAAACGTATTGTAAAAATAATCATCTATACTATTATACAAAATAATATTTTATTGGTATATACAATGCTATAATACTTCTATACTGCAATTTTTTTTGCAAATATGTAACACTACAGCAAAAATTATAAATAATATTATGATGCTATGATAGTTCAATGTTAACAGTGTATTTACAAATATACAAAATATAAAATATAATCTGCGATTTGAAACAAAAAATTCACTTGGAGGAAAACGGAATCGTACCTATAGTTCTTCTTGATATTTTTTATGAGCTAACATGCTGGTATAGGAAAACTTCCAGCATGGATTATGGAGAGAAATTTGGATACGGGCACGATAATATTATAAAAGCGGGATAATCATTAAGGGCTCAATTTATATATATATATGATATATTTGATAATAATTTTATACAAACAATAAGACAACAAAAATAAAAAAACTTTTTACCGAGCGATATCGCGCATAAACGATTTTGTTCGTACTATGATAAAATTAAAACGACCAGAGAACGAAACGAATTACTATAAAGGTACGGTCGCGCGCGCGTTTAGACGTCAAAATAAAACGTCGTTTATATAATATAATATTATGATGCCGCAGAGGGTAGGTAGATATAACATAGTGTAATGTTTAGGACTCACGCGATCGGTAGGTACCTAAATACTAGATAGTGTTCGAGGTCCGTACCAAAAAA